TGCTTGTGTATGTCTGTATGTCTACTCTGGCGTGTGTGTCTCCAGAGTATATATATATATATATATATATATATATATATATATATATATATATATATATATATATATATATTATTTTAATTCATTATTGCAAATTATATATACAGGGAGCCGGCGGCTGATCGGACAGAACACTGGACGCGTGATCCTGTGGTCCCGGGTTCGATCCCGGACGCCGGCGAGAAACAATGGGCAGAGTTTCTTTCACCCTGAAGCCCCTGTTACTTATCAGTAAATAGGTACCTGGGAGTTAGTCAACTGTCACGGGCTGCTTCCTGGGGGTGGAGGCCTGGTCGAGTGACCGGGCCGCGGGGACACTAAAGCCCCGAAGTCATCTCAAGATAACCTCAAGATTACCTGTTGAGGATTCCGAGAGTTGTTCTATGGCCGTTAGCCAGGCTTTCCTTGTGATTGGTCAGTGAGATTGTGCAGGTCGCAGCCATCACAGCCTGGCTCATCCCATAACTCTAACAGGAACAGGTCCAGTTCTCCCTGTCTGAAAATTTCCACTAGCAAAATTTCTTTAAATTTCCTTGCAAAAGAGTCAAGAACTCGCGATACCCTCCACAGGTCAAGTACAGGTCAGGCCTGTGATGTTAACCGGTGTTCACAATTGGTCTGAAGGCACTCGGTTTTTTTTTTGTAAATGCCCAGGTGCCTTTTTTAAACGCCTATTTTAAAAATAATAGGCATCTAATATACATCATTGGCTGGTATTTTGTGTGTCTGGTAGAAACGTCTTGGTGCGCGGATTAAAAATGCGGATTGTGGGTCACTGGATTTATAAAAACACGGACACGGGAGCAGATGGGTGCCAGCCGCTGCTCCTCCTGCTTGGTGGCACTCCTCCTATTGTCTCTCCTCCTCCTCCTCCTCCTTGTTCTGTGTTATACTCTTTCTCTTCAACTATTGTTCTTGCTCCTGCTGATGTTTGTATTTTTGTTGTCACTGTTGGCACTTTGTCACTGTTGGCACTTTGTCACTGTTGGCACTTGTCACTGTTGGCACTTGTCACTGTTGGCACTTTGTCACTGTTGGCACTTGTCACTGCTGGCACTTTGTTACTGCTGGCACTTGTCACTGCTGGCACTTGTCACTGCTGGCACTTGTCACTGCTGGCACTTGTCACTGCTGGCACTTGTCACTTGTCACCTGTTGATTGACAGTTGAGAGGCGGGACCAAAGAGCCAGAGCTCAACCCCCGGAAGCACAACTAGGTGAGTATCTACGGGTACCCGCCAAACTGTACACGGTGAGAGAGAGAGAGAGAGAGAGAGAGAGAGAGAGAGAGAGAGAGAGAGAGAGAGAGAGAGAGAGAGAGAGAGGGGGAGGGGGGGGAGAGAGAGTTTGGGGGGGTGAGGGGGGGCAGAGTGTGGGGGGGGGGCGTCCTACCACAACGACCTAACCATCTGCACATAGTTGAGTCTCACACATTAACACACAAATTTATGGTTTAAGGACAAGTGTGGGGGTCGGCGCGGTGGGTTATGTCAGAGAGCAGTGACACGCTGTGTGGGGGTGTGTAGGGGTGTGTGGGGTGTGTGGTGTGTGTGTGGGGGTGGGTGTGTGTGGGTGTGTGTGGGGGTGTGGGTGTGGAGGACGACTGCTTCAAAATAGTACCTCTTGATGTAGGGGGGACCCTATGACCCTTGCTCTGTATGTCCCCCCTCTTTTACCCCCCATAACCCCTCCCCCTCTTCCCCTCACTGGCTCCCCCTCCCTCTCCTCCCCCCCTCCCCTCCATGTATCTTCCAGCGCCATCTTGATAAACACTGATCAACCTGGCTGTGGATCAGGCTGCGAACAGCTGCGTCTAGCAACCTGGTTGATCAGACCCACCAACCAGAAGGCCAGGTCAGAAACCGGGCCGCGGGGACACTGATCCTCGGAACCATCACAAACACCTGGAAATCCTGGAAAATCTGGACAGGAAGATGCTTGCAGGATTGCAGAAGTCCTCTCCAGGGGTGTTGCAGACTTCATGGCTTTATTGCTTAGACTCCCACTCGCCGGAAAGTCTTCATTCATTGTGACTGTCCCGGTATAGCCACTGGAGGCCGGGGCCACGGTCCACGGAGCCACGGGCCACGAGCCACGGGCCACGGGCCACGGAGCCACGGGCCACTGAGCCACGGGCCACGGAGCCACGGGCCACGGGCCAGCTTCCCGCCAACTGGCTTCATATATTCTTTCATCTTTCCTGATTGGCTAAACAGTCGCGTGACTGCATGAACCATTTTGCCAAGACTTGAACGAAAGAAATATGACCGAGTCAATACTGTGTGATAGTGACTGTGGTGGTGACTGTGATAGTGACAGTGATGGTGGTGGTGACAGCGTCAAGGCAGCGTGGCGGTGACGAGGACACCAAACATGAAGTAGAAACCAGAATTGTAATTACAAAATCTGATAAAGAACTCGGTATAAAATGCCACTCACGCAGATGTAGTAGCACGCCTGCACGCACGCACACACGCCTGCACGCACACACACACGCCTGCACGCACACGCCTGCACGCACGCACACAACAGGCCAAGCACCAATATGCAAGACACCAAATGAAAGAGAAGAGTAGAGGAAGAAAAGAAATGACAACACAGCTGCCATCAAGCAGTTGAAGAACGAGGTGGACGAGCCAAAATAAACTCCTGCTTCAGTAAGCAACAGAACGAAGATGAGTAAGAGTCCACTACGGGCTCGCCATAGCCCGTGCTACTTGGAACTTTTTGTTCCAGGTAGCGGATCCTTAAACACCACCAACAGGAGACAAGGGCCAAATAGCATGGAAAAGGTTGAGAGAACTTGCAGCTGAGGACAATAGGCACAACACGCCGCCAGAAAGGAGTACACACACACGCGAGGAGCAGCGACTGACAGCCAATTTGTAAACGACATTCCAGCAAGAGCTAAAGACCGAACAAGGCTGTTGTGTAACCATATAAGGAGAACAGACGACACTAAGAGACCACGTGAGCATGGTGAGGAGACACGGAGAATTTTCAAGGAGAAACGACACCAAAGGTTACAAAGGAACTCTACACGACGTTTAGTGTCTGGCTCACAAAAGAAGGAATGTTGAGACCAACGGTTCTAGGTGCAAGGTGATCAAGGACCACTAGACGACACTGTAATTTATGTTCATGAAGTGAATGAACTTGAAATACCATGAATATGACCAGCTTAAGGGGCCGGCCGGCCGAGCGGACAGCACGCTGGACATGTGATCCTGTGGTCCCGGGTTCGATCCCGGACGCCGGCGAGAAACGATGAGTAGAGTTTCTTTCACCCTATGCCCCTGTTACCTGGCAGTAAAATAGGTACCTGGGAGTTAGTCAGTTGTCACGGGCTGCTTCCTGGGGGTGGAGGCATGGTCGAGGACCGGGCCGCGGGGACACTAAAAAGCCCCGAAATCATCTTAAGATAACCTCAAGATAACCTTCCAATGCATAATAGGCGGTGGAGGATGACACCTGGTTGATGGGGTTCTGGGAGTTCTTCTACTCCCCCCAAGCCCGGCCCGAGGCCAGGCTTGACTTTGTGAGAGTTTGGTCCACCAGGCTGTTGCTTGGAGCGGCCCGCAGGCCCACATACCCACCACAGCCCCTTGATTCTAGAACCACTTGTGTTCTGTACACCTGTTCACTCCAGCAACACCTGTACACCTGCTCACCACAGGTGTACATCTCTATAAATCAATGACAAAGATTCTAAATCAAAATCTAATTACACAATATAATTATAATTATCTTATTATGCTTTTTCTCTTGTGAAAATAATGTGATATTTGTGTAAACTCGGTTGTAAATATACAACCATTTGTAAACAAAGATATTAGTTGGTTGATTAGTTATAGGGGGGGGGGGAGAAATAGGGGGTGGGAGTGCCTAGTCCGTATTAACCAAGCCTCCTGCTTCTATTGGAGAGAGAGTGCCATTATCTCTCTGCAGATCTGGCACTAATTCATGCCTCGGGGAGGGGAGGAGGGGGGGGGGGTACTGTCACTATAGCCCCAGCTGGCACTAACATGTCATGGCTCTGGGGGCATGATATCAATCAAGAGAGTGACAGTGCCAGCAGCTGGTGCTGGGACGGCTGTGGTGGCCTAGCTGTGGTTACCTAGCAGTGTCTACCTAGCAGTGTCTACCTAACAGTGTCTACCTAGCAGTGTCTACCTAACAGTGTCTACCTAGCAGTGTCTACCTAACAGTGCCTACCTAGCAGTGTCTACCTAGCAGTGTCTACCTAGCAGTGTCTACCTAACAGTGCCTACCTAGCAGTGTCTACCTAACAGTGTCTACCTAGCAGTGTCTACCTAGCAGTGTCTACCTAACAGTGCCTACCTAGCAGTGTCTACCTAACAGTGTCTACCTAACAGTGTCTACCTAACAGTGTCTACCTAGCAGTGTCTACCTAACAGTGTCTACCTAGCAGTGTCTACCTAACAGTGCCTACCTAGCAGTGTCTACCTAGCAGTGTCTACCTAGCAGTGTCTACCTAACAGTGCCTACCTAGCAGTGTCTACCTAACAGTGTCTACCTAGCAGTGTCTACCTAGCAGTGTCTACCTAACAGTGCCTACCTAGCAGTGTCTACCTAACAGTGTCTACCTAGAAGTGGGGAGTGAGGTCTAGCTCCTCATGCCCCATCCCGTAGCCCTCTTGTACCTGTTACATTAACTATTTTTCACGTTGAAAATCTGTGTCTAATCTGGCCTTAAAGTTGTAATGGATGGAGGTGGCTTCTACAACTTCTGTCAGAGCATTCCACTTGTTTGACCCCCGTACTGGCTGCCAGTATTTTCTTATATTCCTTAAACTCTTTTGTGTCTCCAGCTTCCACCTGTGTCCTCTTGTTCGTGTACCACCCGTGTTAAATAATCCATCCTTGTCTACCCTGTCAATTACCCTGAGAATTTTGTATGTGGTGATCATGTCTCCACGAGCTCTTCTGTCTTCCATCAGGTCATGAAGCAGGCCTCAGGAGACAGACTTACTCAGGATGGGGAGCAGGACCAGAAGGTAATATATGCGATCTTTGATATTTTTTCCATGTAGGATATTGTATATGTAGTATTGCACTCTAGGTTAGCGTTACGTCGCCTGGTGCTCTGAGGTGTGTGTCATGCTAAGTCGGTCATTTGTTGCTCTGTTTCAGTCAAAAGGTCTTTGTCTTCTTCCTGAAGCTCTTGAAGTTATTTCATTCTCTCTGTGGGGGTGTGTCTTGGGAGAGTGTGTGTGTGTGTGTGTGTGTGTGTGTGTGTGTGTGTGTGTGTGTGTGTGTGTGTGTGTGTGTGTGTGTGTGTGTGTATTCACCTAGTTGAGTTTGCGGGGGTTGAGCTTTGCTCTTTCGGCCCGCCTCTCAACTGTCAATGTGTGTGTGTGTGTGTGTAAGGTGTTTGATGTATGGGCTTTGACTACTGTTCGTGTTTGACCTAACCTAACCTTGCCAGTGTGCTGGAAATTGAAGTTCATTTCTTAGTCCTAAGTGTGTATTTTTTATAATTGTGTAACTTTAATGATCTCAACCACTTTTCTGTCTCTCTCCCTCTGTCTCCCTCAGTCTCCCTCAGTCTCTCTCTCCCTCTCCCTCCCTGCCCTCTCCCTGAGGTCATGTCTCCCTCACCAGGCGTTACCTCACCCTCTGAGAGACCTTTTCTTGCATATCTCACCATATTTAGCGGTCAAGTCTCCCAGCTTTTCTGCCCGCTTCATCCTCCTCTTCTACTTCATTATTCCTCATTTGTCGTCTTCTCCATCTTTCATTTGTCTTTGTTGTTCTCATTTCCCGGCTTTTCTTCTCCCTTCCTGTTCTTCTCCCCCTGTTCTTGTTCCTCTTGTTCTGTTCTTTTGTTGTTTTTACCTTCTGTTCTTCTTGCTCTGCTTTTGTTCTTCTTTGTTATGTTGTTCATTTGTTCTGAACAGTGTTATTATTACCACCATTACCACCACCATCACCACCACTACCACTACTACCACCATCAGCAGCACAGGGTGCGCCTAGTATTTCAGTGTAGCCTCAATTGGGTCAAGAGGAGCTCCCTCACATGGGTCAAGAGGAGCTCCCTCACATGGGTCAAGAGGAGCTCCCTCAAATGCGTCAAGAGGAGCTCCCTCACATGGGTCAAGAGGAGCTCCCTCAAATGGGTCAAGAGGAGCTCCCTCACATGGGCCAAGAGGAGCTCCCTCAAATGCGTCAAGAGGAGCTCCCTCACATGGGCCAAGAGGAGCTCCCTCACATGGGTCAATAGGTCTTCTGTCGCTTCCTTTGTGTTAAAGATGTTAAGTTCTTCCAAAGGTCAGTTAGAAGTATATACAGATCCAGCCCAGCCTTCACTATTGCGTCGACTACCTTGTCACGTGATCCCATCTGGTACAATAAAAGTTACTTCCACTAAACCCTTGTTGTTTCTCATGTTCTCACTTCCTTCTCATCCAGTTTCCCGCCAGCTGGTGTGTGTTGATTGTCTCCATTGTCCTGCCGCTTGCAGCGTGTACAGGCTCACACACTAGCCTCTAATTCAGTGCCTTCTGCTGTGTTTAACATCGGTACATTCACAGTCTCTTGAAGATATTGTGACGCTCCTCATTCTGCAAACAGCGTAACTACTTTGCCCTCTCTGGAAATTGCCCGTTAATAACATTGTGTTGTTAGGAGATTTTAACGACGCTATGGCAACGTCAGAATTGTATAAATAACGTAAGGGGGTGTACAAGGGATCGCAGGATTGTTTCACGTATAGGTTAGACATGTGAATGACTTCAAGTGAATATAAATATGAACTGTCTTGTATGTGACAATAACTCTTCTGGAGTTTCCGTTATTCTTTTGTTATAAGGCATAGTGTAATCCCAACTTGGCAACCGGTAGCAATATCAGAATTATGAGACATTAGAGAATGGGGTTCTCTCTCTGCTGGGCGCATGGGAAGCATGGGAAGCGCTCATATTTGTGAGGTGAACAATGTCACAATCAGCTGTTGCTGTGCCTTAGGAAAGCTGTAGCAGCTTTATCTGTAGTGGAGGTACTCCAATTGCAATATCAGAGTTATGAGACATTAAAGAAAGGGGGTTCTCTATCTGCTGGACACTCAGGTATTCCAATTGCAATGAATATTGATTTTTGATGTGATTAGTCTTTGTGTTGGGGGCCGTAAGGAAATCCTAATTAGTGGTGCATTCCATAAAGTTTGGATCATGTATCTATGTTGAGTCATTTAGGTTATCCGGTAGAATTTTCTATATATCCTCTTGTGCTTCATCTGAAGCACAAGAGGAGCATTTGAAGTGCCGGAACAGCAATAAGGATGGCTGTGCTGACACTGAGGCTACCGAGTCTGACAAGAATGTATTTCATTAGCAGGGCGTCATGCTATTGAAGCTCCTTCAATTCCCCCCTCACGACTACCTCCTCCATCCAACTCCCTCCCTCACACAACACCTTCCATCCCACCTTCACCCTGCTTCCCTCATCCTAGTTCCCTCATACAACAAACTTCTTCCCTCACTCTAGTTCCCTCCTGCATGCATCTCCCTTGTTGGGTAGTCGGTACTGAAGGAGTCTTGTGTGTGAGGGAGGGAGGGGGAAGGTAGGGAGGGAGGGAGGGAGGGAGGGGGAAGGTAGGGAGGGAGAGAGGGAGAGAGGGAGAGAGGAGGGAGCATCTGTCTAGCCTTACCAAACCTTCTCGTCCCACTGGGGTCACCATGTTCCTCACAGCTTGTTCCATCCTTCTGACTCTCCATCCATGTTCTGGTCCCTCCATCTGGCTACTCCAACAATGTTTCTGGCTCCCTCTACCAATGTTTCTTAATGGTTGTGGCTCCTCCACCAATATTTATAGTCCCTCCTCCAATGTATCTGGCTCCTCCATTGATGTTTCCGGCTCCAACATCAATATTGTGATGACTGGTTTTGTCCAGTTCGAATCCACTTCCATTAAGTAAAATTTATAAAATACAGCTGGACTGTTGTACATATAATCCTTCGCGCCGCTCCAAGCAACAGCCTGGTGGACCAAACTCTCACAAGTCAAGCCTGGCCTCGGGCCGGGCTTGGGGAGTAGCATATACCTGCTTGATGGGGTTCTGGGAGTTCTTCTACTCCCCAAGCCCGGCCCGAGGCCAGGCTTGACTTGTGAGAGTTTGGTCCACCAGGCTGTTGCTTGCAGCGGCCCACATACCCACCACAGCCCGGTTGGTCCGGCACTTTTAGAAAGCCATTCGAAATTCAAAGTTGACATTGATATTACTACTCACTACCTGAACCACTCTTGTTACCAGATACACAGGGGATTACCTGGCGCTCATTTCGGGGCTCAATGTCTCCGCGGCCCGGTCCCTGGCCAGGCCTTGTTGATGTCTTCAGCGGCCGCCTGCATGACGCCGCTGTCCGTTCCTCCCTCCCTCCCATCTCCTTCCCTGCCCCTCCCACCTCCCAGAAGCACTTCTTCACCCGGATTTATACTGCAATTTTTCACACAATCTGCCCGCGGTGACCGGAGGGGGGGGGGGGGGGAGGGAGAGAGGGAGAGGGAGAGAGAGAGAGAGAGGGAGCCATTACGAATAAGAACTATATCCTGTAGTTTGTCATTAGTTCGGTGAAGTATTGCTCCCCACCCCCACCCCTCCAAGCCCATCCTGGGGCCAGGCATGTCTTGTGAGAGGTTGGTCCAACAGACTGTTGCTTGCAGCGGCCCGCAGGCCCACATATCCAGTACTGTCCGAGGGGTTAGTTACTGACTGGAGGAATGTGTCCAGCTGTCTCTTGATCACCTTCACTTGTGTTCCGGTAATATTTCCGGTATATGATGAGGCTGAAGCACCCCGGTGTTCACTCACTGTTCACTCACTGTTCACTCACTGTTCACACGGGATCTGTTCCCCTGGTGGGCCTGCTACATAAAGGGGGGGGGGGGACGTCGTTCAATATGTCGACGTCATATTGAAGAGAACGGGTTGGATAATTAACTCTTACTTATTTCTCAATGTTGTATTAACGGAAGGGTACACTAGCCAGGGGGGGGCCCTACGACTCTATGGGCTCCTCTTGATGAAAATATTGGTCGTGGGAGACATCATAGCTCAGTGGATCACTACTCGACCTGCCGCTGGGAAGGCCAGGGGGGGGGGGGTCAAATCCCTTTTCAAGTTATTTATATAATGTAAATTGTGTATAATTGAGAGTAATCCTGCAGTTTAGTGGGCGGCCCGGCGCCCATCATCTGGGTACGGGGCCCAGGGCCCATCATCTGGGTACGGGGCCCAGGGCCCATCATCTGGGTACGGGGCCCAGGGCCCATCATCTGGGTACGGGGCCCAGGGCCCATCATCTGGGTACGGGGCCCAGGGCCCATCATCTGGGTACGGCCCCAGGGCCCATCATCTGGGTGCGGGGCCCAGGGCCCATCATCTGGGTACGGGCCCTACGCCCATCATCTGGGTACGGGCCCCAGGGCACTGCTTTGGCCAGGATCTACAATGCTTTTAAACTTCCTGCTGCTTCTTCCCTTCTTCATCCATTTCTCTCTTCTCAGATTCTAATCTTCCTTTTTCTGAGGACTTCTGTGTTTATGACTGTTCCTTCCCCTCTTCCTATAGCCGTCCTCTCTTTATTCCCCTCCCTCCCCTCCATTCCTCGGGGTCCTCTCCCCTCTCATCCTCTCTCTCTCTCCTCTCAGAGATCCAGTTTAGTCAGTGACGTGAGCGGGATAGTATTTCCTTATCACTTACCTGTCCCCTCTCCCCTTACACGCTCTCTCTCTCACGCTCTCTCTCTCACGCTCTCTCACGCTCTCTCTCTCTCTCACGCTCTCTCTCTCACGCTCTCTCTCACGCTCTCTCTCTCACGCTCTCTCTCACGCTCTCTCTCACGCTCTCTCTCACGCTCTCTCTCTCACGCTCTCTCTCTCATGCTCTCTCTCTCATGCTCTCTCTCTCACTCACTCTCTCTCTCTCTCTCTCTCTCTCTCTCTCTCTCTCTCTTCTCTCTCTCTCTCTCTCTCTCTCTCTCTCTCTCTCTCTCTCTCTCTCTCTCTCTCTCCCTCTGTCTCTCTCTCCCTCTGTCTCTCTCTCCCTCTCCCCCCCTCCTTCTCCCTCAATTGGTGTCACTGAGCGGCTGGCCAAATATTGCAGAGAAAATGCAGTATCATTCATTGACAACTGGGACAGACGCCTCGACTGGAGAATGCGTGCATCTGTGTAGGTCGCCTAGCGCTCCTCTCTGCCATACGCACCCGGACAATATATATATTTATGATAATGAAAAGGGATACCAGCACTTGTGTCTGTAGGGACCCTTAGGCTCGAAGAAGA